ACACGGAGCATCATTAGTGGTGTGTATGAGGTGAATGTGAAGGCAGAAGTGTGTCTAGACTCCAAGTCTGTGCAGATTACTGATGTTCACCTCAGTCCTTCCAGAGGTTTTATACCTCACACTGGCTGCAAACACATCGATGTTTCTCCGTCAATACACATTAAACTGGTAGATATCAAACAAGAAAAAAACCTGGAAGTTTCAGGAGCTGTGAATAACGAGTGGAAGTAGGAGAAAGACAAATATAATTTGATTTTGAAGTAAAGTAAACACAATAAACGTAGAATGTGATGATTGTGGCAACGAAGGGGGAAGGAGAGAGAACATTTCTTTCCTATAATTCTCGGCTAAAACTCATTCTCTTTCTCAGGCGAATATATTTAAAATTTTCCGTTTTACATGTATGAACTTTATGTATTATTCAGTTCATTTAAAAATTTCCAATACATATGTATGAACTTTATGTATTATTTAGTTCACTCAAAATTATCCTATATACATGAAGTTCCTGTATTATTCAGTTAATTTACTTATTTTACTCAAATGTACAAATTTTGTTCATTTTTGTTCATAAATGTCATTATAGACATAGGAAGCGCTAAACCCGGTAAGTTTATACGGATGGTGGAAGATGAGAGACACTTAGTTTTGACCCGAGAAAGAGAAGAATAGCGCAAATTCCCCAGATCAAGAGACTTCACCAGCATCAAGGTATCTCCCTTTAAGAACATTCATAATAACTAAATGTATTTCAGACGCTGAGGAAGGTATCTCCGCATTACGTAACTCCAGTCCTCAGTGCCTCCATTCACGCGACTGGAATAGCGCAGAGTGCGGCATAATATGACAATGTACTCACTTAGTTGTACTCGCCTAGTTGTGGTTGCAGGGGTCGAGTCATAGCTCCTGGCCCCTCCTCTTCACTGGTCGCTACTGGGTCACTCTCCTGAACCATGAGCTTTATCTACCTCTGCTTAAAACTGTGTATGGATCCTGCCTCCACTACATCGTTTCCAAAACTATTCCATATTAGTGTTAGAGATAAAATAAAGTTAGACACTGTGATTTATTTCTGATCAGAAGAGAAATTCCCTAATTATTTCAACAAAAGCCAATTTGATTAATAAAAATTAATACATGATAACTTACATAACCTAACAACACATCAAGACTAAAACAACAACACAAAAAATTTAAAGGTGAGCATAAGATGCGTTTTCCAGTTATTGCACAGAATCCAACAAAATTTGTGCCTACACAGCCTAAACCCATGAAACTTTCCATCATTTCATACGATGTTTCAGCCATTCAAATACTGAGTCATTCTCCAGTTATGGCGAAGATTACAAAGGTTCCAAGTTTTTTTTTATTTTACTACAATAAATTTGCTTACAGTCAAATGAAACTTAATAGATAGCATCCTGGTCCTCAGATGCACCAGACATTAATATTGAAGCCGTTCAGTAGAGCTAAGCTGAAGACTATTTTTCGTGTTTTGACGGATACAAAAATTTCACACCATTTTACACACAAAATGGTCAACTCTGCAGCAGCTGCACATTTGAATTTCACTCTCCACCGTGGTCGATATTTTTTGGGCATATTTTTTTGAGCGTTTGAACCTTCACCTCTGAGGATCGTTTAACTTTTCCGAGTCATTCCACGAGAATGGGAATTTGTTCAAAACCTTGGTCATAGGGCACATCAACCTTCCAGTTGTTCCAAGAATTTAGTCCTAGTTACCGTACACAAGTGTTGAAAGTTTGAAGCTCACTGGATGGGGGACTCGAGTTACGAAGTAAATAAAATGGAAGAGTTGAAGGAAGAAAAAACAGATAATCTCCTAAAGATCCCTCTTCAGAGAGGCCTATTAAAGAACACTGTTGGCCTACTTATTTCCAGACGTGAAATATATTGTGGATGTGTAGTGAGTGTCAGTGACCATGTGGATATGTGGTGAGTGTCAGTGACCATGTGGATATGTGGTGAGTGTCAGTGACCATGTGGATGTGTGGTGAATGTCGGTGACCATGTGGATGTTTGGTGAGTGTCAGTAACCATGTGGATGTGTGGTGAATGTCGGTGACCATGTGGATGTGTGGTGAGTGTCAGTGACCATGTGGATGTGAGGTGAGTGTCAGTGACCATTTGGATGTGCGGGGAGTGTCAGTGACCATGTGGATGTGTGGTGAGTGTCAGTGACCATGTGGATGCGTGGTGTCAGTGGCCATGTGGATGTGTGGCGAGTGTCAGTGACCATGTGGATGTGTGGTGAGTGTCAGTGACCATGTGGATGTGAGGTGAGTGTCAGTGACCATGTGGATGTGTGGGGAGTGTCAGTGACCATGTGGATATGTGGTGAGTGTTAGTGACCATGTGGATGTACGGTGAGTGTCAGTGACCATGTGGATGCGTGGTGTCAGTGGCCATGTGGATGTGTGGCGAGTGTTAGTGACCATGTGGATGTGTGGTGAGTGTCAGTGACCATGTGAATGTGTGGTGAGTGTCAGTGACCATGTGAATGTGTGGTGAGTGTCAGTGACCATGTGGATGTGTGCTGAGTGTCAGTGACGATGTGGATGTGTGGTGAGTGTCAGTGACCATGTGGATTTGTGGTGAGTGTCAGTGACCATGTGGATGTGTGCTGAGTGTCAGTGACGATGTGGATGTGTGGTGAGTGTCAGTGACCATGTGGATTTGTGGTGAGTGTCAGTGACCATGTGGTGTGAGGTGAGTGTCAGTGACCATGTGGATGTGTGGTGAGTGTCAGTGGCCATGTGGATGTGTGGTGAGTGTCAGTGACCATGTGAATGTGTGGTGAGTGTCAGTGACCTTGTGGATGTGTGGTGAGTGTCAGTGACCATGTGGATGTGTGGTGAGTGTCAGTGACCATGTGAATGTGTGGTGAGTGTCAGTGACCATGTGGATGTGTGGTGAGTGTCAGTGACGATGTGGATGTGTGGTGAGTGTCAGTGGCCATGTGGATGTGTGGCGAGTGTCAGTGACCATCTGGATGTGTGGTGAGTGTTTGTGACCATGTGGATGTGAGGTGAGTGTCAGTGACCATGTGGAAGTGTGGTGAGTGTTAGTGACCATGTGGATGTGTGGTGTCAGTGACGATGTGGATGTGTGGTGAATGTCAGTGACCATGTGGATGTGTGGTGAGTGTCAGTGACCATGTGGATGTGTGGTGTCAGTGACCATGTGGATGTGTGGTGAGAGTCAGTGACCATGTGGATGTGTGGTGGGTGTCAGTGACCATGTGGATGTGTGGTGAGTGTCAGTGACCATGTGGATGTGTGGTGAGTGTCAGTGACCATGTGGATGTATAATGAGTGTTAGTGACCGTGTGGATGTGTGGCGAGTGTCACTGACTATATGGATCTGTGGAGAGTGTCAGTGACCATGTGGATGTGTGGTGAGTGCCAGTGACCATGTGGATGTGTGGTGAGTGTCAGTGACCATGTGGATGTGTGGTGAGTGTCAGTGACCATGTGGATGTGTGGTGAGTGTCAGTGACAATGTAGATGTGTGGTGAGTGTCAGTGACCATGTGGATGTGTGGTGAGTGTCAGTGACCATGTGGATGTGCGGTGAGTGTCAGTGACCATGTGGATGTGTGGTGAGTGTTAGTGACCATGTGGATGTACGGTGAGTGTCAGTGACCACGTGCATGTGTGGTGTCAGTGACCATGTGGAAGTGTGGTGAGTGTCAGTGACCATGTGGATGTGTGGTGAGTGTCAGTGACCATGTGGATGTGTGGTGAGTGTCAGTGACCATGTGGATGTGTGGTGAGTGTCAGTGACCATGTGGATGTGTGGTGAGTGTCAGTGACCATGTGGATGTGTGGTGAGTGTCGGTGACGATGTGGATGTGTGGTGAGTGTCACTGACTATATGGATCTGTGGAGAGTGTCAGTGACCATGTGGATGTGTGGTGAGTGTCAGCGACTATGTGGATGTGTGGTCAGTGACCATGTGGATGTGTGGTGAGTGTCAGTGACCATGTGGATGTGTGGTGAGTGTCAGTGACAATGTGGATGTATAATGAGTGTTAGTGACCATGTGGATGTGTGGTGAGTGTCACTGACTATATGGATCTGTGGAGAGTGTCAGTGACCATGTGGATGTGTGGTGAGTGTCAGCGACGATGTGGATGTGTGGTCAGTGACCATGTGGATGTGTGGTGAGTGTCAGTGACCATGTGGATGTGTGGTGGGTGTCAGTGACCATGTGGAGGTGTGGTGAGTGTCAGTGACCATGTGGATGAGTGGTGAGTGTCAGTGACCCCGTGGGTAGTGTTGCCTCAATGACTTCTTACTCTCTGAGCTAAAAGAGAAAGTTATAATAGGAAAACTCTGTACGTGGTAAGGAGTCAAGTGAACTATTATGTACATACTTAAACATACACACATGTACTCTGTTGACACAGGCACCAACATGTACACACGTACACACGTACACATATAACTGAATCGTTAATTTTCATAAGATAAAATGTTTAATAAATATAACATAGGTTTGTGTTGCCTGAACGACCTAACTGTCCCGAGCAGACACCATGGAAAGTGAAGCAGAGTTCAAACAGAGTCTGCACCGCAGGCACTACCATAGTCTGCACCTGCAGCACTACCATAGTCTGCAAACCCGCAGGCACTACTTAGTTTCCACCAGAGGCACTACCATAGTCTGCACCAGCAGGCCCTACATAGTTTCCCCAGAGGCCGCTACCATAGTCTGGCACCAGCAGGCATACCATAGTTTCCACAGCAGGCAAATTTCATAGTCTGCACAGCAAGCACTACATGTTTCCACCCGCAGGCACTACCATAGTCTGCACCAGCAGGCAATAACATAGTTTCCAACAGCAGGCATACAAGTCTGCACCAGCGGGCATACCATAGTTTCCACCAGCAGGCCTAACCATAGTCTGCACAGCAGCACTACCATAATTTGCACCAGCAGGCACTACCATAGTTTCCACCAGCAGGCACTACCATA